AAGAAGTGACTGGCTTACAAGCTTTCGAGAGGGAGCCAAGATCCAGAGGGCACAGAGGAAGGTAGAATCTCCACTGAGTAGTATCCAATCTGTCTGGGCGGGGCTGATGAAAGGAGATGGGGAGAAGTCCCTATGATACAATAGTGAATAACTGTTATCAGGACTGACTGTGAGGGTTGGAAATGTAAAGGTAGACGTTTTGTAGCAAAAGCAGGGGTTTGACTGATTCTGCAGTCTAGGAGCAGAGGTGCCTGGGACCATCAAGGAAGAAGAGTGCAGTGCGGGACCCTACCCAGAGAAGCAGTGACACCAGAGATGGAGGCAGAGATGATGACATGGAGAGATGGAGCAGCTGGGGACTCTGGACCCAGACATGGAGAGGGGCTGTGTGCTGACAACCGGGGGGCAAGCTTGCAGGGTATATATATATCCTTTGGTTGGTTGATGATGCATGGAGGTGATTGTAACCATGGCAATGAAACGATATACAATAGGATGAATGTGAAGCTAATGTTCGCCCATGTAAACTATCACATAAATCACAATAAACATTTAATAAATAAACCTTAAAAAAAAAAAAACAACCAAGATCAGATTCATAGACACTGTTAATAAATGACAGTAATAATGAAAAGTTAATAAATATACAGATTTGACTTCAGAACCAACTTATGACAGAGTCATCAGAACAGAACCCCATCGGGATTACCTGTATATATTAGAAAACCCAGTACAGGACCGCTTTGAGTTGGAACCAACTCAATGACACTGAGCAACAACAACAATGCACACCCATAATAATTAAGAATAGTTCAAAAGGAAGAGGGAAAGTTCTAGAAACTGTTCATCTGTAAGTCTTTCATCCAATAAATATTTACTAAACACCTACTAGATCCTAAATGCCTAAGAGCAACATATGCAATTTTTAAATATTACACTGTAGAATCTTTTTAAAGTTTTTTTTTTTTTTCTAGCTTGTTGTTGTTAAGTGCCATTAAGTCGGTTCCAACTCATGCTGATCCTGTATTGGGTTTCCAAGGAGTGGCTGATGACCCTGCAGTCCAGCACATGGCCTACAGTGCCACATTTTAAAAAGGGAAAAGCAATCGGGTAAAATTCATTTCAATTACATATTTTATTTAAACCACTGAGGGTTAGGGCATTGGGCTGCTAACTGCACAGTTGGCAATTCAAACCCACAAACAGTTCTGTGGGAGAAACAATGAGGTGGTCTGCTCACACACACAAAAACAATAGAGGGTCGGTACATGCTGGACAAGAAAATGGCAGGGAGTTCATTTTGTTCCAAATGATATCATATCCACGAAAGACACTGGCCACACTTCAAGGCTCAGTAGTCACCTGTGGTCCTTCAGGACTGTTTTAGGCACTGGGAGTGCGGCAGCGAACGGTATCGACAATACACAAACAACAATAAACCACACGGTGATGTGTGTGCACCGAGGATGTCACTCACCAAGCGTAACCTCATCTGAAGCTTAGTATTTCTTTTGAGGGGCAGATATTCTCATTTTGTTTACACTTGTAAAACTTACAAGCACTATATTACCACATATGCCTATTAATGAAGCGTCTGGTAACCTCGTGAGTTATGAGCTGGGTTGCTAACCATAGGGTCAGCAGTTCAAATCCACCAGTGCTCTGAGGGAGAAAGATGAGGTTTCTGCTCCCATAAAGAGTTACAGCCTCAGAAAGCCTGTATAGGAACCGACTCAATGGCACACACCACCACTACCCCACCTATTAACAGTAAGGGATGCTGGGAATAAACCATGTTTGAATAATGCTGTCATTTGCTGTGGAATTGGTTCTGACTCATGGTGCCCCTGTGTCTGCAGAGTGGAAATGTCACAGCCTTATCAAAGCTGGGAGGTTTCAGAACGATTCACAGGCCTGTCTTCTGAGAGCCTATTAGTTCTCAAAAAATTCACGTTGTCAACACTTTAAAGCTCTTTCTGTCTCTCTCTTTAGAAAGACCAGAAGCTAAAGAGAAAGAATGTTTTGTATTCAAAACTTATTATTTGTTCCTATACAATGCAGCATCGTCAAAACATATTAAGTAGGCACCCAAAACAGAGAACAGTGCTCCCAAAGACAAATCCAATAAAAGCCAGTCACGCACCAAACCGAGGAGAATGACATGTAACCACTGTGAACAGTACACGGGTGCTCAACTACTAAAACACGTTCACACAAGATCACTCACAGCTACACAGCCATCTTACCTGGATTGCCAGACAATTCCTTGCCATTGTCACTGTTATAGCTTATGAATTTTACTGTAAATCTCTGTGTCATTATTCCTAAGGGGGAAAAAACAAACAAAAATATATATACACTCTGATAGTGTAGTGGTTACGAATCGGGCTGTGAACCTCAAGGTCTGCAGTTCGCAACTACCAGCTGTTCTGCAGGAGAAAGATGAGGCTTTCTGCTCCCATAAAGATTTATAGCCTTGGAAAACCTATATAGGGTCACTATAAGTAGGAACCAAGGAGCTCTGGTAGCGTAGTGGTTACGAATCGGGCTGCGAACCTTAAGGTCAGTGGTTCGAAACTACCAGCCGCTCCGCGGGAGAAAGATGAG